TTCTAACCCGAAACGTCAGCCTCTCTGCTCCTATGATGCTGCTTGGCCTGCTGTGTTCATCCAGCCTTGCACCTTGTTGTCTCGGATTCTCCAGCATCTGCAGTTCCTACTATCTATGGTTCTAACCTCTCCTTTTCACCCTGAGAGGGAAAACTGATCCCATATTTTAGTATTGTAATGGACAGCAAATCTCATTGACTCAATACAACAGATAGAAGATTTTGTACAGTGTTACAAGACATGCATTTAACACTGTAGGTGCCAATCACAGAGCCATCCACAGGTATAACAGTTACTATCACAGTTTGAATTCTGTATTATACTCACTCAATATTTAGCTTCTAAATAATAGATAGGTATTAATTCAGGAGAATAATATTTGAAGACCTATCACACCATGGTTGGTGCTATCTCATGCATGACATACTAAACCAAGCTCCATTTATCTTGTCAAATGGATGTAAAACATTCCCAGACATGATTTGAAAAAACAGCAGAGGGGTTGTCCTCGCATCCTGGCAACCTTTATCAATCAAGTGACATCTCTTTGATACGTCAACTGGTCACTTATCTCGTCACTGTTTCTTTTGTTGTTACATTTTTTATGTCATTCACAGGATATGGCACATTGTTGGTTGGACCAGCATTTGTTGTCCATCATTAATTGCTGTTGAGAAGGTGGAGGTGAGCTGGCTTCTTGAAAGTCACAGTCCTGCTTGGAATGGAGCTTAAGGATTTTGACAGAGCTACTATGAAGGAACAGTTACATGATCCAAGTCAGAATCATGTGTAGCTTTTCGGAGAACTCGGTAGTGTTCCCTTGGATTTATTGCCCTTGTCCTTCTCGATATTAGTGTTTGTGGATTTTGAATTTAGAGGAGCCTTGATGATTATTGTATTTTGTTTAATAGATAGTACACACTTTTCCACTGTAGATTGGCAGTGAACAGAGTGCATGTTAAAGTTTGGGTGCTAATCAAATGGGCTGTTTTGTCCCAGATGGTACCAAGCTTCTTGACAGTTGCTGAAACTGCACCCACCAACAAGTGGAGAGTATTCCATCACTCCTGACTTGTGCCTTTTAAACACTGGAAGAAAGGAGGCGAATTATTCACCACAGAATTCCTAGCCTCTGACTTGCTCTCACAGACACAGCACTTATGTGACTGGTCCAGTTCAGTTTCTGATCAATGGCAACCCCTAGGCTATTGATAGTTTTCTGTATTCTCTTGTGGGACATGGGTGTCACTGGCTGGGCCAGCACTTTTTGCCCATCTCTAGCTGCCTTCTTGAACCACTGCAGTCCACGTGCTATATTTAGACCCAAAATGCCATTAGAGAGGGAATTCCACAATTTTGACCCAGTGACAGTGAAGGAATGGTGACATGAAACAGTCTACATAATTACAAGATTTTCTTCCCATTGTAAAATTGATTTCTATTTTAAAATATAGGAATAGATGAATTCAATTATTATTTTAGAACACATTTTTGTACGTTTATTTTGTCACTTTTTTGGTTTTATTACACAATTTGCGATAATCTGCATTTGTTTGTCTAATTAGCTTCACAGCAATGATTGAAAATGGCTGTGCAGTGCCATAACTTGCTAACATTAAGCATGACAGACATCTAGAAAACACCATAAATTATTACAAGCATAAAGTTGTAATTTGTATAATGTTGACGAATGATGTCAACTCTATACCTGCAGTCATATCCTTGAAACGGCAAATGTCAGATAACGCAAGAAAGCATCTTGTGGCAGAATTAAACATTCATGTTGAATTATGTTAAACAAAGGTATGTCACAGGACATTTGAAGGCAATGTGGATGGGAACTGAGGTGTAACTGAGAAGTTGAATAAATACTTTGCATCAGTCTTCACATTAGATGATACTAACACCATTCCAAAATTACCGAATAGTCAAGGAGCAAAAGGAGGAGAGAAAATAAACACAATAACTCTCACTAGAGAAAGTTCTTGAGAAAATAATTTGGCTAAAGATTAATAAGTCCCTTGGACCTGAAGAGATGCATCTCAGGATAATAAATTAAGTAGCTACAGAGATTGTAAATGCACTGGTATTAATCTTCCAAGAATCCTTAGATTCTGGAAATCTCCCACAGGATTGGAAAACTGCCAATGTTACACCTCTATTTACAGAGGGGAGACAAAAAGACAGGTAACTGTAGACTAGCTAGTGTACCATCAGTTATTGGGATAATATTAGAGTCTATTATACGAAAAGTATTGGCACAGAATTTAGAAATACATAAGATAACCAAGGAAAGCCAGCATGGCTTCATGAGGGGTATGTCATACTTGTCAAATTTAATAAATCAATGTGAAGATAAATAAAGGCAAGTCAGTAAATGTGGATTTTCAAAAGGTATTTGATAAAGTATCAGATAGCAGGCTTCTTGATAAGATATGACAGCATGGTGTTGGAGGCAGTATGTTAGCATTAATAGCGGATTAGCTAACTAATAGAAGCCAGAGAATTGGAATAAGGGGCATTTTCAAGATGGCAACCTGTAACTAGTGGTGTGCCACAGGTATCAGTGCTAGGGCCCACAACTACTTACAATATATATTAAAGACTTGGATGAGGAAAGTTAATGTATTATCGCCAAGTTTACAGATAACGCAAAAATAGGTGGCAAGTCAAGTGGTGAGGATAATGCATGGTGTCTGCAGAAGGATATAGATGAGTTAAAGGAGTGAGCAAAAAACTTGGCAGATGCAATATGATAAATGAAAATATCAGATTCCACACGTTGGTAGGAAGAATAGAGGAGCTGAATATTATCTAAATGGGGAAATATTTCAGAATAATATGGAACAGAGGAATTTGGGAGTCCTTGTCGATGAATCACAAAAAGCTAGCATCCAAGTTCAGCAAGTATTAGGGAAGACAAGCGAAATGTTTGCCTTTATTTCAAGGAGAATAGTGTATAAAAGTAGGGAGGTTTTGCTCAAATTATACAAGGCACTCGTCAGACTGTAGCTGGAATACTCTGAACAGTTTTTAGCCTCTTATCTGAGGAAAGATAAATTGGCATTGGCGAAGGTTCATAATGCTGCTGCCAAAAATGAGGAAAGGTTGAGTAGTTTGGGCCAGTATGCATTGGAGTCTAGAAGCATGTAGGTGATCTTATTGAAATGTGGTTGAGCTTAGGGGAAGTGTGAAGATGAGTGGTTTTGTCAAGGCTGTTGGGGTAGGCACCGATCATGGAGGCTCCTAAAGCATGCACTTGGGCCTAGAAGGCGACGCTTCTCTCCAGAATCTACTCAGTCCTTGCCTCATGGAAATTGCCAGGTTCCCCACATCTCAGGAAAGCAGGCTGGCAACTGTAAAGGTCTAAGGGCTGTATGTAATGAGACTTGCATCAAATATCCTATTCAAAGCAGCTACCTGAACTCTTGCTTTCATAGATTGTTGAAATGGGTGGGTGGTTTCGATTGGGGAATACATTTTTGTCACATGTCCCAAACCTGCCTCTACTCTCAGTTAAATTCAGCTCTAATCGCTCTCTATATCTTGCCACATTTGCTAAAATAATGTGACATGATTTGAGACATACACTGTTGTCATTTTCTGGTAATCAATTATAAAACATCACTCAGCAAATTTGTAACAATATTACCACCATCATTAGTTCCTCAATAAAGATTTCATTACATTGTCACTGGAAAGGGCAAACCAACAATGTCCACTATGACATCAGCCTCAACCAAAGAAAAGGCACAATTGCAATAAGCTTGCCTCATTCCATGAAGGATACAGCATAAATTATTTAAAGTATCAGATACATGAAAATGATTTCAAAGTAATTCGTCAATAGACTGCAATGGTTGATATAAACTCCATGAGCTTTGCACTCAACATTTACAATGGTATCTGAAACATTCAAAGAGATTACTTCCTTTTGACTGTACCCAGGTATCAGCATTTTCTACAATCCTAAAAATAACATATTCCCAAAATGTGAATTTCAGTGATATATTTTAAAAATATTTTTATAATATTTTATTTATAATATTTTATAAGATTTTATAATTTAAAAATATTTTTAAGTAATTACACAGTAATTACACCTTATCCTTTGTGAAAATAAGCCAAAAATAAAACTGATTTAGTTGCTCAGCATTTTATGCCAAAAATATTCACAAGTTAAAATTTGAATCCTCAAAGGAACTTGTAATTTCCAACAGCTCTGAATTATAACCAAGGCTAAGAAAACATTTAAATCAAAACACTTAGCTACATGTGAGAATAAATATCTGTGGATTTTTTTTGTAGGCTTCATGAGTTATTATTATTCTTTGTGAACATTTCCCACTAAAATGTCCCAATCACTTTCTTTGCATATTTTGGTGTTACTAATAAAGTAACAAAAAGTGGGGAGGAATATTTATCTCTAAGACCATGTACTACATTTTTCAGGTATCTTTAACTGGATTACAAACTAACAACATTAACTCAGACATGAAGTAAAAATACTTTTAAACAGGTTAGTATAAGGAACTAGAAAGCATCCTAGCTAATAATCAGGGCATTGCACATAAAAAAAATATGGTTATTAGTTCTGTGTAGTAGTACTAGAATAGCTCAAACTGATTTATAAATCTTTACTTTTTCTAACAAGTTACACAAGTGTAAATAAATTGCAAAAGAATGTGAAATAAATGTTGTTAGTCCTTCAGAAATATAATCATAAATATCTTGCCAGCAATACATTAATGTTGTCTGTAAATGTGCACGATAAATTGGCTGCCAAGTTTTATATCTTTCAAAATAAGTACATTGATTCACAGAATATCAACGATTCCACAAAGGTCTGTAGTCTGCTGTAACTTTCAGAAAATTAAGGAGTTTCTCAACATTAGCTCATCACAAATTAAACTGAATCAAATGCGATGATCCTGTAGACCCTAGCAATGGCTTCACCAGCAATGCTAAATATACAATGGGGAAGGTGGTTTTGGTCTTACCTGAGTTCGGTTAAAAGCCACACGTGCGAACACAGCCTGGGAGATGCCAGCTCGCTTCAACTCATCACGAACCCACTGGTAGATTTCGGAAGACACTTCAGCATTTGATGAAGTTTGTTGTTCTAATGGTTTATTCATGGTCCGATTGACAGGAGGGTGGTTCAGGTATTGCTGATTTAGAGATTGCTGTGCCAAGAGTCTGTTGACAGCAAATTGTTGATTTAATATCTGGGCCATAACCAGCTGCTGATTCACCAGCTGTGGGCTAAGAGGTGCAGAAACAAGTCCAGGATGCAAATTGGAAAGTTGGGGCCTAGTAGCAGGCTGACCACTATGAGGAAGCTGGGCAGGTGATGGTGGCTGGGGCAGTTCAGTACCATTTCCAGGAACTGTTTGTGATCCAAAGTTAACATGATTTGTCCCTTGCTGAGAAACAGACAGTTCAGACATAGTCTCCATTTCAGCTAGAGCAACAAAGAAAAGAAGTTTCAGAAACATGAATATATTTGAGTGACAAACATTAATACCCTAAAAGTAAAAAAAAATCCTGTATGTAATGCTCATTATGTTTTGCCATTAATTATAGCTTGGATTATTATTAAGAACTTTACTGCAACTAATAGAACTGTATTAAATTTGCTACAATTCTTTGAGGCAACCAATAAAAGATAACACAGAGGTAAGAGGCCATGCATATGCATTACATCTTAGTCATATAATTCTGTAACTGTATGGGGCACCTTCTTACAAATGGGATATCTGCAATTTACCAAGATTGGAATATTACATTAACAGAAAGTGTCTAACAATTTGTCCGTCATCACCATGACATCAAGCTGACCCTTCAATACCATATCTGCATATGTGCAAATGTTTTGTAACATTTTGGTTCATACCTCATATGAATAACAGTCATAACAAATCCTAATTGAAGGGGCATAAAATATGTGAATCCAATCAGAGGAAAATGGGTAAACTTACTTCCACGGAGGAGTCACTAAGGAAGACAACTATACACAGTCATCAAAATGTTAGAATGATTGCAAAGGGAAAATGAAGAGATAACATCATTTCAAATCTAATTCTTTGATGTTCTCTTATCCTGTATTTTCACACTTGGAGTAAAGTCGCTCCTTTAGATGCAATCAGCAATTCCAGTGCAAATTGAACCTAAAACTGCACCAGTTGCTAAAGAGTGCTCCCTTTCCTCCAAGTTTCTGCTCAAACACATTAGCAAAACACCAAGCTGTCAAGAACCAGTGCTTAAAAATTAAAATTTATTTTTAAAAATGTCTTTAATTAAGTTTTAATTTATATATTTAAGAGCGGCAACATGTAAATGTTTGAATAACTCTGAAGATTGGCTCATCACAAAAAATAAACATTTTAAATCATTTTAAAAACAACGTTCATAACATTTTAAAACATTCCTATTGGCGTCTTTGAGCCCAAAGGACTCAGCTAAATTTTTACAGCCTATCCAAAAGTCTGCAACAGGCACAATTAGTGGAGACTCCCAATGGTAATTAATTTACCCAGGCGGGAGGAGCTGTTTTGTGGGAGCCACCTACTTCTAGTCTGATTTTTTTTTAACCACATTAAAGATTATAGAATCTCAAGTTGCACTCAGCAAAATGTGCATTTAAAATTTATTTTAAAAGTCCTAAAATCTTTTGCATTAGTTGTAATAGAACACAAACACAGACAAGAAGTAGAAATTCTAGGCCTTCACATTTATTTATTGCTTTTAATAGTAATTGTGTGTGCTTTAAATTTCCAGATATTGGTACTTACTGTTCATCTCACAGGAACGTTCTCTTCTCCCCACCCCACCCAGTGAGTGCCCCTGCTCAGCAGCCACTGGAACGGAATTTACTTGAATTCCCCCAGGATTATTTTCAGGTTTCAAAGATTAAAAATAAACCATTTATTTAAAAAATGATGTAGACTGTACTGTCCTACACTGGTCGTTATTCTGTGTCAAACTCTCTCAGCTGCATATTTTTGGTCTTTCTACCCTGCACTGGAAGCTCTTCATGGGTCCTTGACCCGAGACTGGCTATGGCATTTTTCAAAAATAGCAAATTGAAAATTCCCTTCCTTTTCATTCCTTGTCCTTTTCCTCCTATACATCATTTCCCCATTCTTTCTCCCCCACTCTTTCTAATTTCCTTTGTGCCTTCTAAACCTCATTTGAAGTCCATCTAAACCCTGCTCTGTCTGGGTTGATTGATTGATTGACTTATTGTCGTGTGTACCGTAGTACAGTGAAAAGGTTTGTTTACAAGCAGTGCAGGCAGATCATAGTAAGCAAGGATGTACAGATCAAAAAGACTTAAACAGAGGCATACAGGTTACATTGCACAGGGTGTGCACTAGGTGAGATCAATGTTAGTAAGATCAGCATCATTTGAAGTTAGAGAGTCCATCAGTCTAATAATGGCTGGGAAGAAGCTTTTCCTGAACCTAATGGTGCGTGTGTTCAGGCTGACAGAAGAGGTTGTAGGAGATCACTACAGGGTGCAATGGGTCTTTGATGATGTTGGCAGTCTTTCCGCGGCAGTGAGCCATGTAAATGAAGTCCATGGATGGTCTGGGCTGTGCACACCACCTTCTGTAGTTTCTTATGGTCCTGGGCAGAGCAGTTGTCATACCAGGCCGCTATGCAGCCGGACAGTACGCTTTCAATGGTGCATCTGTAGAAGTTGATGAGGGACCTTATGGACATGCCAAATTTCCTGAGCCACCTGAGGAAGAAGAGGCGTTGTTGTGCCTTCTTGACCATCGCATCTACGTGGGAAGTCTAGGACAGGTTGTCGGTTATCGTCACTCCAAGGAATGTGACGCTTTCCACCCTCTCGGCCTCAGTTCTGTTTTTGTAGATGGAGGCATGTTCTCCTCCTTTCTTTCTGAAGTCAATGATCAGTTCTTTCGTTTTGCCTACATTGAGAAAGAGACTAACTGTACTGGATTCACTCCTTCCAACTATGACATTCTCTGCAGTTCCTCCTGCCAAACTCTCTCAATTAAGTAGATGCTGTTTACAAGACAACAACATCAGTCTCACTGGCTGGAGACTAGACACTTCCAGGAGTTGCTAGACACTTGAGTTTCTGACTGTCATCTGGCCTCTTACTATGCTCTCCTTATCCAACACACCCCACCGATCATACTTCTATCATTTAACAACTCCATCTGCTCTCTAAATATGCACCAATCCCCACTGTTCTACCTTCTCTAAACCTGCACTTGCATCCTCTCATTTCCCTATAACAACTGCAATCTTGAAACATATATAATTTCTTCCTTACTTCTCTGGCCTGTAATCTTCACACTTAGCCACTGATCTTATTTTACATTTCCTTTCTACTCCCTCACAACATAATCCCATTGTCTAATTACAGCATGTCCTCTTGCCATCATCTTCCCAGGCAGTGCCCCGGGCCTGAGGATCACTCTCTCCATTCCACATTTGTGGGTCCTGAGGTAACTATCCAGTGCAATGCTGGATTTGCTCAATGCCCCAGATGAGGCAGGTGTTGTCTGAAGACAGGATAGGTGGGTCATCTAGGTGTTTGAATGTTCTTTCCACTATTTGAAATAAACCTTCAGAAATCTAGTGACGTCTAGACCTTGAGCTTTATTTAGCATATGAACCGAGGTAACAGGTTCCTTTTAAGTTTAGGAACTACTAAATTAAGCTTTCTTCCATTAAGTGTTCATTTGTTTGTGCTGTTTGTGAATGTCCTCTCCCTGCACTTGTTGGAGAAGCCCAAAATGGTTGTCTCTTATACAAATATTTCTTCTCCAGTTTGAGCAACTTTTATCCCATGAGTCAGTAGATATAATGCATTTTTACAGGGAGGCTTTAAAGATGTCCTTGAAGCATTTCTTCTACCCTCCTGATAATCACTTGCCTTGGCTAAACTCAGAGTAGAGGACTGGTCCTGGAAATCCTGTTTTGGGCACATCAATAATGTGGGCCATCAAATACAGCCAATCGACAGTAACCTGGGGCATGGAACTGGTTCCTTCTGAGCTTGATCTATAAGTATAACGAAACATGCTCTTATGCTTAATGATGCCTTTCATGGATGATGTGGGTCGGGTGGAGCAGGATTCAGTACTCATGCAGCATTTACAATATCCTGTCTCTTTTTGACATGACTGGTGTTGCATTTATTGGAACAAGACCCAATAGTCAAGTTCCATGTAACCATTAAGCATATAACCTTGAGAACTTTCATGTTCCTGATGTGGTTGACAGGCCTGACGTCTTATATGAATGGCTACTAGGGAGACCTCTGCAACCATAGCTGATGATGTCATTATGAAACCTCTGACTGAATGTAGGCACTATGCAGCCCATTCTTTAAGGTGGTGCAAACAGTAGAGCTCCTAAAGATAAGGTTCCGATGCTTGGATTAGTCTGGGGGAAGCCTTACTCTATACTCCAGAAACTGTGTTCCACACAATCCTAGCTCAGTACACTGGAGTATGGATTTCAGTTCCTTTTGGTGCTGGTGAATAAAGTTGAATGTTTTGAACCATTTGAAGTCTTCTCTGTACGTGATGGTCCCACACTAAACAATCGTAAGTCATTGGGCTAAAGTGGTCACCGGGGAAAGAGAAGCAGAAACGTAGAGGGTTGAAAGGGGGAATATGAATTAGGAGACATAAGCTATGAGGCTTCGAGCAAATGGAACGTAAAGTTGCATGTGCAAGGAAATGGCAGCTGTGCAACTGTACATTGTGAGAGGCACTGGTTTATGGTGCTGTGCCATTATGTTGACAGTGAACGGCAACTCTAAACTGTTAACCTTTGACCAGGCACAATGCCGGTGTGGGTCAAAGATATAAAGGGTAGTTAAAAGAAAGTCACTATATGTAGTTCACTTGGATTTCCAGAAAGTATTCTACATTGTGCCACATAAAGATTATTGCACAAGATAGCAGCTCATGGTATTGAGGGTAATGTCTGGCATGGATTGAGAATTGATTAACAGAGGGGTCTTTTTTCAGGTTGGAAAGATGTAACTAGTGGACTGCAACAACCAATTATTTACTATCTATACTAATGACTTAGAGCAGCAGCCAGAGTATAATATATCTAACTTTGCTGAATATACAAATATAAGTGGGTGGGCATATTGTGATGAGGACAAGAAATTTGCAAGGGGATACAGATAGGCTGAGTGAGTGGGCAAAAACTTGGCAGATGAAGTTTAATGTGTGAAAGTGTGGGATCATGCACTTTGGTAGAAAAAAATCAAAGGCAGAGTATTATTTAAATGGAAACAGACTCCAAAAAAGTATAACGCAGAGGGATCTGGGTTTTCTTATGCATGATACACAAAAGATCAGCATGCAGATGCAGCAAGTAATTAAGACAAATGGAATTTTGGCCTTTATTGCAAGGGGCTGGAGTTTAAAAACAGCAATGTCTTGTTATAGCTGAACAGGGCATTGTTGAGGGCAGCCTGGTGTACTGTGTACAGTTTTGACATATTCAATAAAGGATATACTTGCCTGGGATGACTTATCAAAAATGATTAAACAAGTTTCGTCTTTATTTTTATTCCTTCACAGGATGTTATAGAATTTATTTAAAACTGAGATGTGAAGGAATTTCTTTTGTCAGAGGGTAACGAATGTCTGGAATTCTCAACCACAGAGAATTGGGAAAGATAGATCAGAAAGTATTTAAAGAAGAGATAAACAGATCTTTGAAGACAGTGAGGAGTTGAGGATTATGAGGAACCTTCGATTGTCACCTTGCTGTGGTGGAAAGGTTTAAGTGTTTCTTTGATCCCGAAAGCAATTCCATCAGGAATTCCCAACTCCTGGCAGGGCCAGCCATGACAGTAAAGTGGGAGGGGAGGAACCAGACAGAGTGCAATCCAAAATGGTGATCCAGTGGAAGATACTCATGTAATATGAGTGGCTGCAATGATAGATGAAGGCTACAGCAGTAGTAGAGAGATCCCCAAGGTCCCCAATCATCGAGGTTTCCTTACCTGGAACTGGATCAACATTCTGTCAAGCACTGTGTGTCTGTTGATGTACAACAGCATTCCCACATTGAAAGATGTCCTGCACAAGTTTAGAGGTCTCTCTCACTCACACACACACACACACACACGATAGAGACAGGATTGTCAGACATGGAAGTCCCTAGCTTCAGACTGGCTTGTAGGCGGTGGAGCATGACTCAGTTGTTGCGCCTTGGCATCGGAACAGGACAGCGTTTCAGCAGCTTTCTTCACGACCAAACAGATCTCTTCAGGATCCATTCTGCTTACCCCACATGGAGAAGGGGTTAAGAAAACATGCTCTAAAAATAGTCTGTCCCCTCACCAACCTGGCTGGAAAACCACATCCAGTGGGCTCATCTACCTGTGGTCTGAAAACCAAAGTGAAACATACTTGAATGTATGATCCCTCATGGCCAATGAGCAAAGCAATCATTCAGAACGAAGAACTGCCCTGATTGCTGATGAACTCAGGCACTTCAACATTGATATTGCAGACAAAGGGCAGTTGAGGGAAGAAGGCGGTGGTTTGCCCTTCCCCTGGAGAGGAAAACTCAAGGATCAGCCCAGGATGCATGGAACTTGATTTGTTGTTGAAAATGAACTCAACTGACTCAGAGCTCCCTGCTGGCATCAATGATTGCCTCACAACTCTCCATCTACAACGTGCCATGAACCAGCAGACAGCAGTCATTGAGTGCTTGTGCACCAACTCTTGATGCCACAGATGAACATGATGATGGGCGCCTACTCCACCCTGGACACCATAGTCACCAACATCCCTAAGGAAGATAAAACTATCCTCCTTGAAGACTTCACTCCCAGGGTTAGAAAGGGCGCCCAACGCTGAAACTGAACCATTGGAAAAGAAGTCAGGAACTACAGCACCAATGGGATTCTCCTGCTCACTAAATGTATGGAACACCAGCTGGTTATCGCCAACACATTGTTTCATCAAAAACGACACAAGTTCAAGACTTCTTGGAGGCATCCATGATCACAACACTGGCATTTGATTGACTATGTCATCATTTGATGCTGAGACCTAAAGGATGTCCTCATTAACCAAAGTGATGACCAATGCAGTCAACTGCTGGAAAGACTACTGGCTCATCTGCTCCTCAAGGTCCATCAAATGCCACCAGAAGCAGCTGAAAACAAAGGAACAGTTCATAAAAATGCTCAGCACTAAGTGGCTTCAAAAGCCAAGCAGACTAGCGAACTTCCAACAATATCTTTATAAAAATTTAAATGAGTGGAGGAAATGTGGAAAGAGGTGAAGACAATCATAATCTCATGTTGTGAAGAAACAATTGACTACAAGACCAGAAAACACCAAAACTGGTTCAACAAGAATGATCACATCAACCAAAGCATGATTGACAAGAAGGGGAAAGATCTTCATACTTTGCAGAACAAATATCACCAAGAGGTAAAGAAGAGAGTTCATGAAACAGCAAAGGCAGAGCTACAAAGAAGAATGAGGGA